CAATCCGCTTCTCCTTCAAAGTCTCCAACAACGAGGCCGAATATGAGGCCCTCCTATGTGGCCTTCGGCTGGCTGCCAACATGAGGGCTCGGCAGATCCACATCAAATGCGACTCCAAGTTGGTCGTTGGCCAAATCTCCGAGGAATATGAGGCCAAGGAGGGAAGAATGAAACAATACAAGGAAGCGGCCAAGGAGTTGCTCAAGGTATTTGAGGCACACTCTCTCACTCAAATACCGAGGGCTCAGAACTCCGAGGCCGACATATTATCTAAGCTCTCGGCCGACTCCCCCGAGCACATCTCCAAAATTGCCAAAATTGAGGAACTCAGCCTCTCAAGTATCCATGCAAGCCCCGTGATGAACATACAACAACGCCAAGAGGATTGGATCTCAGATATCACCGCCTTCATCTCCACAGGGCAGCTACCCGAGAATGAGACCCGCGCTAAACTGGCGAAGCTGAGGGCTCCTAGCTACACCATCGAAGATGGAAGGCTCTACAAACGATCTTACAATGGCACGCTACTTTGATGCCTTCATCAAGATGAGGCCGAGGTCGCAATGGAGGAAGTGCACAGTGGCACTTGCTCAGCTCACCAGGGACCCTTCTCCATGTCCCGAAGGCTCATTCTCCAGGGCTACTTCTGGCCAACCATGGCCAGAGATTGTGCTGACCTTGCCCGGAGGTGCACCGCATGTCAACATTTCCAGAAAGCCCCCGGTAGGCCAGCGGTCAACTATGCCCCCATCAGCACATCTGTCCCTTTTTCCTGATGGGGGATAGACCTTGTGGGCCCTCTGCCGAGGGGTACCTCCAACAACAGGTACATCATTGTGGCCATCGACTACTTTACCAAGTGGGTGGAGGCTGAGCCCCTCGCCAGTATCACAGAGGCGAAGTGCCGTCATTTTGTCCTCAAGAACATCCTCACAAGGTTTGGCGTCCCCCAGCAGATCATCTCCGACAATGGGACACAATTTGAGGCAGCCCCCTTCTGTGCCCTTCTGGAGGCATGGGGCATCAAACACACCTTCTCCTCCGTCGCCTACCCTCAAGGCAACAGGCAAGTAGAGAATGCCAACCGGACCTTGCTCGAGGGCCTCAAAAAGAAGCTGGAGGCCGAGGGTGGTGGTTGGGTGGAAGAACTCCACAACATCCTATGGGCCTACCGCACCACCCCTCGGCGAGCAACAGGTGAAACACCCTTCTCCCTCTGCTACGGTTTTGAAGCCAAAGCTCCTACGGAAGTCACGCTTCCCACCCAAAGGATGATCCAATATGACCCCGAGGTCAACGACAGCAACATGGCCCTCGACCTCCACCTCATTGCAGAACGCCGGGAGCAGGCCTTCATCCGGGCAGAAAATTACCGAAGGCAAGTCAAAAGCTACATCAACGCCAAAGTTCGCACCAGAGAATTCCAAGTGGGGGACTATGTCCTCCGGAGGAGGGAAGCCAGCCAACCAACCGAGGGAGGAAAAAGGGCACCAAAATTCGAAGGCCCCTACATCATAGCAGCCATCATCAAACCCGGGACTTACAAGCTCAAACGCCCCAACGGGAAAGAGGTCCCTAGGCACTGGAATGTACACCATTTAGTTAAATTTTACCAATAATGTAAGAGCGGCCAAGCCCTCATAACTAATGAATGTACTATCCTATGGCCTAAGGCCTCCACTTCTGAGGAATGAAGACACATTCAAGACATCACGCCCTCATACTGACTACAGGCCCCAGGCCTCACCACAAGAAGAACCCCCTCCGGCACTAAGTGCCGAGGGCGGACACCGTCAACACCTACAACAACAGGAGAACACCACGTGTTTTCGAACAAGCCCCCTCGGTACCAAGTACCGAGGGTGGGGACTCCCGTCACCAACGGCAAGGAACGCCATGTGTTTTATTTCCCTTCGGCACCCAGTGCCGAGGGTACACCTCCATCACCAACATCAAAACGAAGAAAAACACCAAATGTTTCAAAGAAGACCCCTCGGCACCCAGTGCCAGGGATATGCTCTCCTATCAACTTCCAAACACCTGTTGGGAAACACCAAGTGTTTCCTCCGAGGGCCCTCCGACACCAAACACTCCAATCAAAACACCAAGTGTTTCATTTGAAGACCCTTCGGTACCAAGTACCGAGGGTGGACACCTCCATCAACTGCAACAAAAGAGAACACCAAGTGTTCCTACAGAAGACCCCTCGGTACCAAGTACCGGGGGCTACACATCGAAACTAACACCAAGTGTTGTTTCTAAAAGCCGTACCCCACGAGGACGCATATACCGAAGGCGCCACCATCGGTGCCGGCGGCACGTAGTGCCCCCGGCCATTTGCAACTAGTGTGCAAATGAAAACCCTTCCTTGAAACGCTTTCCGCGTCACTATCCCCAGGGTATGACAGGCATGAGAAATGCCCAGGATTCGACTTTCAAAAACGGAACGCTATCCGCATCATCACCCCAAGGGTATGACAGGCACGAGAAATGCCCAGGATTCGACTTCCAAACCGAAACGCTCCCCGCGCCACCACCCCAAGGGTGTGGCAGGCCACGGACTATGTCTAGCGCCGAGGGGACGACTTTCAAAAATGAGGCGCTTTCCGCGCCATCCCCTAAGGGGAGGCAGGTTACAGACCACCATATCTTGTGCCCAGGAAACGACCCTCGATTCCCTCGGAACTCGGAAGGTTAACCCGAGGGAGGAGAGCCATTGGTGTATTCAGATGGTCTCCTAATAGGCCCAGCCTTACCAAGAAACCAAGTTTCTTGATGCCTTCCCTTCACCACCAAACAAAAAAAAAGGGGTGAAGGGGAGTAGACTCAGCGAGAAATCAAAGAGTAAACTCCAACAGATCACAACATGCCGAGGGCTCCCCACGGGAACACCTCCGGTAATTGAAGGCTCCTATTTCTCGAAGGATACTACTCAAACAAATATCATCAAGAAACGGCTAAGTCCACTGCCTGGTCACCTCCGGTCACACAAGCACCGAAGGCTTCAACAATACAAAGGGACGGGACTATCCAAAGTCCACTAAACGATACTTCAAACACCGAAGGCATCTGTTATGCACTGATACCGAGGGCCCCTACCCCATTACAAGGGACACAACCGGCTGAGTCAAACTCTACAACTTTTCAGAGTGTATGCTGAGGGCACACACTCATCATTGGCTTTCTTCACAACAACATGATTCCACACTTTTCCTAAGTCCACACTTTTGGAAAATGACGGCAACCGGAGGCTAATATATCACCAGGCAACCAAAGGCATATATTACAAATCATCAAAAGCCAACCGAGGGGGACTATTCTAAAATATTTGCCCCCCGGACAGACTCCCCACTGACCGAAGGTTCAACATCCACGACACTTTGTGAAATTTTGCTTAGTCCCACATATTTGGCCCTCGGCCAAAGACTCATACAACACAAGGGCCTCACGATCACCCGGAGGGTCCTATTCATATACCCGGAGGGATCTACATCCGGAAGCTCAACATCAATTTACGCTTAGAAAATATTCTAAGTCCTAAATGCGTAGCCCCCGGGCATCCCGCAAAAGGACGCAGAGTCAGAGGGCACCTATCACCCGAAGGCGACACTAGGAAGCAGCACTTGGATAAAATTCTAAGTCCTAAAGATTGCCCCCCGGCCCAATCAATATTACAGCTAAATGAATATGACAGTCGAAGGCTATGCATCAAGAAGGGATGCCATCTCCCGAAGGCTCCCAAGGAAAAATCCACACTTGGAAAATTTTCTAAGTCCTACATATTTTTCCCCCGGTCGAGTACTCATACATCAAGAAGGGATGTCATCTCCCGAAGGCTCCCAAGGGAAAATCTACACTTAGAAATCTTTCTAAGTCCTACATATTTCACCCTCATCTCAAGGGACCTAATAGCCGAAGGCTACCTATCAATCAAAGGCTACAGTACACCCGTATTCAAACACTTAGGAAAATTTTCTAAGTCCTAAAGAATTGGCCCCCGGCCTAATCAATATTTCAGTTGGGACTCCACAGCAGCCGGAGGCTACATGACATACTACACTTGCAAAAATTTTCTAAGTCCTGTACATTGGGCCCTCGGTCCAATATTCACGCATCAGGAAGGAGGCTACCAGCCAAAGGCATCCGAGGGCAAAAACTACACCTGGAAATTTTTCTAAGTCCTAGGAATTGGGTTCTCAACCTAATCACCACACAACAATTGAACTACAAACACCCGAAGGCCCTATGGCGTGTTACACTTAGAAAAATTTTCTAAGTCCTAATTATTGCTGAACCCTCGGTTGTATATCCAGCAGAGGGTGCCCAACTACCGAAGGCTTCCAAGGGCAAGCTACATTCAAAGGAGCAAAGGCATACATCCAAAACGAGACGAAGGCATACATTCAAGAAGAAATGAATTAAGGAAAACAAGCCATATATACAAAGCCCGAAGGCAATCATTCATTCATCACAACAAAGAGTAAATGTAGTTATTACAATGGTGGCCGAGGCCGAAAACATGCTAATGTGGCTATTACAAAGAGTTCAAAATACTGAGTACAAATTACACATCAAACAACGTCATTCCCGGGGGCCGCTTCTTCCGCAGGCTTCGAGATGACCTCCGCATCAGCCTCTGCTTCATCACCCTCAGCCTCTTTCAGGAGTTCCGAATCCTCCAGTTCCGGCCTCTCGACGCCCTCGGGGAGGGGGACTCTGATATCAGGCTGGAGGGGGGGGGGGGGAGACCGTACGCCGCCGGGTTGAAGGCCGTTGGCTCTATCTTCAGGTGCCGGGCGAGCCTCCTGTAGATCAGGGCCTGGGTGAAGAACTCCCCCCGGCGTAGTAATCTTCGCCCTTTCGGGCTAGCCACATCGCCCCGAGGCCCTTCACCCACCCCTCGGTAGAACTCTCCATGACCGAGGCCACCCAGTCTTTATGGCCTTCGGCCTTCCAGCCCTCGGTCATGAAGGCAGCAACTGCAGCAGCGGCGGCCTCTGCTTTGGCGGCCTCGGCATCTTCAAGGGCCTTCTTCGCAGCCTCGGCAGCCGCCTTCTCCATCTCCACCCTCTCCCGGGAGGCTCTCTTTGCTTCCGCCCTCGCCTGCTGGAGGTCCCTCTCCAGTTGAGCCATCTGCCTCATGGCCTCAGCGTTATCGTGGATGAGCTTCTTGAGGGACTCTTCCTGTTGCGCCCTCTGGAGGCGCCATTCGTCGAATCTCCTGGCGTGTTCGCCGAGGGCTATGCAAGCCTGTTTAGACAAACAACAAAGTTATGATCACACAAACAGATAAAGTCATGGGCCACGAGGCTAATGAAAAAGAAAGAAGAAGAGAGGAAGGAGGAGAACTTACGGTAAGAAAGGACCGGAGGATTTTGGACTCGAGGGCTTCGTCATCCAGCTTCCCGAGGGCCCGCCTGTCTAGAGCGGGTGTAGCCCCGCCAAGAAATTCCCGGGGGTCCACTGTGCCATGCGTGATGGCAGACCCCTTCGGCAGGGAGAACTGTATGTCCTCCCGAGGCAAGCTTACCTCGCCACCTTTGCCCGAGGGCGGGCAAGGAGCAGTCGGAGCACTGGGTTCCGAGGCAGAATGCTCGTCCACCACCAACACCAAGGGAGCCTTCTTCCCGGCGCCCCCTTCTTTTGTTTCTTCCCCTCGGGGACTGGGGCCTTGCCGGCGGCCTTTCGTTTTGCGGCCTCCCCCGAGGGCTCACCGCCTTTCTTCGTCTCCCCGAGGGGCTTCTGCTTTGCGGGCTCCTTCTGGCCCGACACCTTCGCCTTCTGTTTTTTGAGGTTGGCGAAGGCGTTGAGATCCATCTTGACACCTGCAAAAACAATATGGGGTTAAGATCGAGGGGTCACTAACAGATAGCACAAAAAAGAAACGAACAAGCAGAGGGACTATCTGCTAAGACATAAAATAAGGGTGCCCTCAGCCACTACCTCCGGAGGCTCCCTCGAATGCCGGGAACTTCTCATCTGTCTCCCCCAGAAAGCGATACCGCCTGAACCCGAGGGTGTAGAGATCCTCCTCCTTGGTGCACTCCTTAATGGTGATGTTTTTGTCCCGGTCCTCCGGGATCTTGGCCAGGATCCTGCCGTCTTTCTCGAGGGCGGCGCTCCTCCTCTTCTCATGCCTCCTAAACCGGTCACGCAATTCCCTCGGGAAGGGGCTCTCGGTCAGCCTCACGTAGCACCACCGGTCTTTCCACCCTTTGTTAGAGGAGGGCGCCTCGGTAAAGAGCTTGAAGAGGGCGACCTGCTGTAAGTTGGCGAAGCCCTCGGCATTCGCATGCCCCCCCCGGCACAAATTAAAGCTCTGGAAGAAGAGGTCCAGGCTAGGCGTCACCCCCCGGGACTTGCAGAGCTGGAGGAAGCCAGTGATATAGGAATGGCTATTCGGGGTCAGCTGGCAGGGGACCAGACCCACGAACCGAAGGTACTCCCGGAGGAAAGGGTGCAGGGGGAAGCGGAGCCCCATGGACACCGAGAGAACATGCATCGCTATACAGCCCTCGGGAGCCCGGGAGAGGACGTCATCTGGACCCGGTGTCACCACGATGGCCGAGGGGCCCACGTGTAGTTGAGTGACGTAGATGTCCGCCGCATCAGCCTTCGACCTTATCTCCAAGGCGACGGTGTTCAAATATGAATACCCCTCGGGCATATCGAGGGGCTTCCCTTGGTCTGCTACGCTGCCCTTCTTCTTGGGAGCAGCGGCCTTGGCCTTCTTCTTTCCGGGGGCCACCCGGATGGGGACCGCATTCAGCGGCCGAGAGGTGCTGGCCTCACCAGCACCCCGAGGGGGGAGCACAGCAACGGTGACCCTCACGCTTTCTCTTTGTGCCTCCTCTTCAGCTGCTTGCCAGGCTAGGGCCAACTCTTCGTCCTCACATTCTTGCTCGAAGCCCTCGGCTTCCGCCTCAGCTACGAGGGCTTTCTGCAACTCCAGGGCAACGACGACATCCTGTCCCACCGAAGACTGTGCACTTGAGGACTCCACGTCCGAGAGGACTTCATCCTCCATCGAGGGCGCCCCCGAGATATCTTGAGAATCACTCTGGGACGACATTCTGACTCTAGTTCGAAGGCTCGTAGACGCTAGTGTTTTCTAAATATTCTATCTCCTAGCCTAAGGGCACAATACATGTAGCTAAGAGGTGAAGGGCAAGTGGAGAACTGACCTTAAGAACAGAGGATTCAACCGAGGGCTGCTGTTTCTCTCTCTAGAAAAATTGGCAGAGCTTCGCTAACAAGGTTTCGCACACGGAGGAATGCCTGGCCTTGGGGTATTTATAGGCGCTGGAATCCGGGCTTGGGCCCGGAAACCGGGCCTCCGGACGGACCGTCATCATTACGCACCGTGTTTTCACCCAACCGGTGACGCCGCCCACGGGCAGCCAACCGTCACGCGCCACGTGTACCCCCCAACGGCTGTATCCTGACGTTACATATTCCAACGGCTATATTTCCAACGGCTATATTCTGGAAGCCCCCGGGTTTTCTGCTTCACTCCACTTCATCAAGGAGAGCCTCCGGGTACACTTACCCAGAGACGCCTTCGGGATCACTCCTTCAGAAACCCAAGGCTTCATATAAGGGCACCCCTCGGGGATTCCCCCTCAGCACTGTAAGAACCGGGTAGCCCCCGGGGAGTTGCCTCATTGACGGATAACCCATGGCACACAGGTAATGGGAGCCCTCGGGTATCTTCATCACCAACTAATCAACAAACAGTGGACCCCCCGGTAACAACTCCACTGTTGCCCTCATCCATCAGGCCCTCGGTCCCCAGATGGAGGGGCTCCCCTTCGGCACCCCCAGGACATCAACAGCAAGCCTTCACCTAATCAATACATGAGCCCTCAGAAAAAGGAGAGCCTTCGGCATTACCGTTATTCTCCATTTTTGACCAAGGTTTGACATTTTCGATTCATCATTGGGGGAATTCGGTGCACTCTTTTTCCCTCATTAGGATTTTTTCCCACAGGTTTTTTTTCTAATGAGGTTTTTAACGAGGCACCCCCCTAAAATGAAACGAAAAGCGTCAGCCTTCGGCCCACAACAGCAACACAACTACTATACTCTTTTTCCCCACTTTACAAGTGCCTCAAGGAGTGGGGGACTGGAGAACCCCCTCGGGAAAATCATTAAATTACAAAAATTAGTGAAATTCCAACAAACGACAAAGCAAGCCCTCAAGTCCCGACATGTGGGTAACTGAGGGACTGCCTTCGGCAGGGACATAAAAGCAACAACTCCTCACCAACTTCAGAGATCACGACAGGACAAAATCAAAGGGCAAGCACAAATTACTCCTTTTCCCTCAAATACCTTTCGGCAAAAGGAGTGAGGGACTCCTGATGGAGTATATGGCCCGGGAACACCCGACCCACAGACTCCTACTACTCCAGTAGAGGCCCAACAGGCCCAGAAGGCCCAACAGGCCCAAATCACGACGCCCAGAGTACCAAGCAGCCCGCAATACGCATCAGGGGTGCCCTCGGCCCCCTGGCCGAAGGCTCCAAACTATCACAACATGGATATTTCGAACAAACAGAGGAACTGGGAGAAAACGGCGAAAACAGTAGCCCTCGGCACCTGGAGCCCTCGGCACTCAGGGGTCCTCGGCACTAAGAGCCCTCGGCTAGCCCTCTGCAGCCGAGGGCACCTCTCCCGACATGATATCCGCCTCACATGCGTACAGATCACCGTACCTTGTACAGACGTCCCATCCAACAGCCGCATTAAATGCGGCTGCCAACGCCAACCAGTTGAGGTGGCCCCTCGGCCAATAGGCGCTTGACACGTGTCCCCGTCCGGCATGTATTGCTACTATAAATAGCACCCCATTTCCCCATTTGTAACCACGCTAAAAACGCTCCACATTTATAACACACTCTCTCTCTCTCTACGTTTACTTGCTCTGACTTCTCTCTAAGTTATTCCCAGCAATAACCCTTCGGATATATACCCCGAGGTAGACTATCCATCATATGTATAAAATTTTAAATTCTACAAGCTCATATATTTATCTTTATTTCAATATTAGTTTATAATTTGTGCTAACACTTTCTTTTTATATTGTATGCAGCATGACTATGCGGTGGATGATAACATGGAAAACCCATTGATGAAAAAGATGGCCAAAATGCATCGAGGTTGGAGGAATCGGTTGCGGACGGGTTACTTATCTAAGACACGTCAAGTGAGGAAGGATGCTGGTGAAGCTTATGAAAGATACAAAGACCACCTTACCAAAGAAGAGTGGGAGGAATTCAAGACGAGGAGTATGACTCCTGAGTTTATGGTATGTCATAGAATTAATAACTACTCAATATTTTCAATTAACTAGTTATTTAATATTTATGTAACATTTGCAAGGCTTTGAGCGAAAAGAACAAACTAGCTGCTCTTCAGAATATCTATCCTCATCATATGGGGCGTTCAGGATATGTTCTTTCCATACCGAAATGGAAAGAGCAAGGATTATTAGATCAGTTTCTTACTAGTTCAGAGGTAGATTCATCGAACTCTAGCACAACCACTACTGATAATATTCCTAGACATGTCAGTTGGTTTTGTGCAAGATCAGGATTAATAGAGGATGGTCGCTTAGTGTTCCCTGGTAATGCTGAGGGCATGCGTGAGAAAAAAGAAAAATTGATAAGTTATACTCCCTCCGTCCCGCTAACAATGGGACATGAGGAAGTGACATGCAAATTAATAAAGAGTGGTTTATGTGGTTGATATTGAATTGATAAAGTAAGAATAAAGTAAGAATGATTTAGAGTCACACAAACTTTACCAAATTTGGTAAGAGACAATCTTAGTGGGACGGACCGATAAGGTAAAATGAGACAATCATAGCGGGACGAAGATAGTAGTTAGTAAAATTTACTCATTTAGTTAAGTTATGTTTATTTTTCAACATTACATTCTATTGCTTCTATACTGGGATAAAGTTCAAGCAGATGTAGCAACAGGGAATTGGAAGCCAACTGGATGTCATGATATTCTGACTGAGATTGTTGGGAAGCCAGATTATCCTGGACGTGCACGTGGTGTGGGTGGTGGTGTGGGTTTTACACGTGTCTTTGATCGAGAACCAAGAAGTGGGCATCGAGATAAAGTTGGTAATTTGAGTGAAGCTGACCTAAAACAGTTGCAAGAGCGGTTGGTAAAAGACATGCAACACTACTTCGTTCCAAGAGGTGAAGTACCTACCGGGGATTCGATGCCAACTTCTGAGGCGGCCCATGTGGGTACCATGAATTCTGCCGCACCTCGTCTTAAAAAAGTTTCACGGTAAGTTGTAATTGAGTTTAAAGTAACAAGTGTTTAATTTTTCATTGTAGTTTTTTTTTTTATTTTGTCATTTATTATGAAAATACATGCATGCAGGATGGTGTATCTTGTAGGCTAGCCATTGAGTCACACACTGAATGTGCTGTTGATTTTGTTGCCATGGCGGTAGCCTACAACACGCCTAGCGGGGGGCTAATCCACAATGTGTCGATGTCTGAAAACACCATTAAAGTGAACATATCTATGGCATATCCAAACTTTGAAAATTGTCCCTTGCTATATCCTAATGAAGCCGCTGATATGAATGTTGTAGCAGACGTTGTAGGTTCTTTTGTTCAGTGGCCAGCGCAGTTAGTTTTTTTTGAGGGAGAGGTAATCAAGTAATGGTTGATCTGTACTATTTAATTTGTTGTATTATCTCGCTATAAATATGCATCATATTTGTTATTATAATTGTTTTAGGAACCACCATCTAAGCCAAAAAAGAAGGATGTTGCAAAAAAGAAACTGCCTTTTATCCCGAGAGACTCACCAAAAGTAATGGTTGAACCCAGCTCATATGCATTGGTCAGTGAGGCTGTTCTTCATTCACTTACTTATGATCTTTTAAGATTGCATGAGAATCTTGAGTGGTATGAGCCCGAACTTTGTAAGTTTTCTATTCCTCTTCGTGTGGATGTGTTTTGCTACGTTAAAGATATGCAATTTGGGACCACTGTTGACTGTGAAGACTTGAGTCAATTTCGTGAGGGTGATTTTGTTGATATGCCTATTATTCAGACCTTTATGCTGTAAGTATTGTAATACATTCAGAAATACTCTTGAACATTTGTTAGACATGATTAGTGATTAATTATTATTTCTATATGCAGTTGTTTAAATGCTAAATAGATTGAGCTTGGTCGTGATGATGTGGGTCTTTTGTGTCCCCATATTTGTTCTTTTGGATATTATGAAGTCGATAGAAAAGGCACACTGACTTACATGAATCATGCTCTGATTGATATTCACCATGTATGCATGTGTATATATTGAGTTGGCATTGTAGGATGTATATGGTTGCTTCCACACAAAAGGGTCGAGGCAAATCAATTAGGTGGCATGACATCAAGGTACATTTGATGTGATATCTACTCTTATTTATATATAATATTTATGCCTTAATTTAAAAAAAGAGTTATTTGAAAAAATTATATTATTATGTAATAATGTTGTATAGTTTTCATCAATTTAAAGTGTGCAAGGCAAACGGGCAATACAAAATGTGAGTATTATGTCATGAAGTTTATGTGAGGAGTAATATCTTATGTTGGAAATTCTGATATTGGACAGGTATTTTATTTATATACTTCAACAAGTGGTTTTCACAAAATAACTTATTTATATATAATTTAGTTTAATATTATCCATTTTATTTATGTTCTCATCAATGCCTTCAGGTTTAATTTGGAATTCAAGAACTCAACCGGTTATATTCGAAGGAAGAGTTTGATGAAATCAGAAATGTGTGGGCTAGATTTTTTCTAGATGACATTATGAATATGTAGGATTTGTAGACATTTGAAGATGTTAATGTAATTTATTTTGATTGTGTTGGAATATTTGAACTTTTATGGAGTTGAATTCTGATTGTACGTTTAATATGAAGTTTATGAATGAATGTGCATATGATGTCTTTCAATCATTTTGTAAATAAAGGAGGATATTTGATAATTAAAAATTTGTTTTTTAAAAAAATTGAAATTAGAGGCGCTTCTACAAATAAAGCGCCTCTAATGTGTGATTCTTTTATACATATTAGAGGCGCTTGTAATGTCAAAAGCGCCGCAAATTATGATGTAAGATGTCGGGCGTGCGGCGCTTATTGTATAAAAAGCGCCGCAAGTCTTCGAATTAAAAAATTAAATTTTAAAAAATTGGGGGTGCTTTTACTTAAGAAGCGCCTCCAATCCAGCATTTGCGTCGGAATAATCGAAGGCGCTTCAAAGCGCCGCGCGCACCTGTTCGGAAGCGCCTCTAATCTCCGTTTTTCCACTAGTGAGTCTAGTTGTCACCCGGGATGCTCTTCCTAGCTTCCTTATGACTGGTCCTTTTCACTGAGTCTCCTTGAAGTATCCTTACTTCACCACTCCAGTTACTTTGGACGTCCTTCTTTGAAAAGAAGATGGTTCTGTAAGAACAGAGGTTTCTCCAACTTGCTTCGTCACAAAAGATAGGTAGATGAAGTGCTTAAAGTGTTGAAGAACATGATGAACTTTGCTCTTGTTGGAAGAAGCATATGAAAATGATATCTTTCCAACGTTGGGCTTTTCTTGTTGAGGAAGATGAAGTAGATATCTCAAGAAAGCTTGTTTGTATAATATAGAGAGAGCAAAAGTTGTCTGGTTGTTCTTCGTGTTGTATCATATATACTGGGGTTGTCTTCCTGTTGGAGGAGGGAGACAACTGCATTAAATGCACGTACCGTAGACTTGACCGGTTGAACCACAAAAGTAGCCGACTTGCTATTTGTTGGAAAAATGTGTTAAAATTGCATTAAATGGTCTTTTTGGGGCAATTATTTGAGTGGGGTCCACTTCCGATTTGGGTCGGGTCAAAGTGGTTTCGGATTTTCCTTGTTAAGGGCTACAATTCGATATATGGTACACTCAAAACGGATAATGGGTGAATGAGAATTTGATTCTCGAAGTTCACTCGTTGAAATGGAAAAACTGGGAAAATGGTGAGTTTCTAGTGTGTTTTATCCCACACCGAAAAACTCAAGGGATTTTCACCCCCTTATAAAGGGAAGCCTTTTTTAAGGAGTTAAGATTCCTAAAGGGAAAGGCTCTCTCTTACGCGCAGGGGGGGGGGGGGTGCCGATCAAATCCCGAAACGGAGAAGAAAAACCGCGACTCGTGTGCGCGGGCGACCTGCGGACACAAATGTCGTCCGAAAACCTATCATTCAAAGATACAGTCTAAGTATTGAATCATCTATCATACATTTATAGCAATAAGTATCAAAATTCATTGGCACATGATATGTATATTTATCGATGAATTATAGCAACAAATAACAAAATAGAAGGTTATATAATCTTTATCATCTTTCACTTCATTTACATATTTTCCCATATTACTCTTTCATTATTAGTAACATTGATTTTTCACTATCATTATCACGTTTCATCCCTACCAATGAATTAAATTATTTCTATGTTTTGTTTCTATGAATAAATTTATTTATTTTATGGCAAATAATGTGATTTACAACATTTTTATTTTCTCTATACAACTTTAGGTTGTACAATTTCTAATTTTTTAGTCAATGTCCCAAGTTAGAATAGGAATTGATTAAGGGACAAAGGGAGCAATTAGCATTGTCACTTTCTTTTTTCATTTTATAAAAAACTCCCACTCACATACATTGTACAAGTGAGACAAATTAGAGGGGGGAGGGGGGAATGAGTGAGTTGAAGGTTTACACGTGGAGCTTTCTTTTGAACCCTTTTGTGTTAAGAGTGAGACGATACTTGTAACAATTTGGCAAGCAAAATGTTCGGTGTCCAGTGTCCCCCATTTGGTTCCAATATTTATTACTCATACTAAATGTTCGTTAAGTAATTCATTTTTTCGCCTATCAGTCTTATAAACTATATTATTATGTTTTATTAAACATTAAACTTTTGTTTCACGCATCAAATTGTTCAGTAATCAAAGTAACTAAAAATGAGTCATTTTATTGATTGGAATTGGTGAAGAGGACCATATTAACTTTATATATATAGTTTTATTTTGAAGGAAAACCCGTTTATATTAACATCATTAGGATTCAGATCGTTCCAACAAACTCAAAGAGGCCAACGCTAACAATAATTATCTGTAACCAACTAGCACTATTAACCCTACGACTAGACTCATAAACAACCACCCCTGAAAGAGCAATACGAATCGCTATACACCAAACAGGCGTGACATAACAATCCTTTTAACGAAAATAATATCTAGTAGAATTGCCAATCATTATTGTAGACCTAAAACTAAAGACATAAACAAAAAATAGAGCAACATAGAACATAACGCGAAAATAAGAGCATAAAAAATAAAATAACTGATAATCTTCCAAACCCTAGCTCCTTGATCGCTCCAAGGCGGCGGTTCAGGAGGGGACGGACCGCTGATCTGTCTTCTCCCATTGTTCATCCCTTCACCTCTCCCCGTCTGCTCGTTGTCCATGCCGCCTCCACTACCACCACCGTCCTCCACCGATGTTGATCCGCTTAACCCTTCGACCTCCTCCTCAATTGCCGGAGTAGGACCGTGTTGCTCTAGATCATCCATAGAAGTCATGATTATCCTTCATTGACCCCACACTCAATCAAAATGCCAAAGAAAAACTAATTCGGTGAAGTGCAACATTACACCGCTCTCGACACGTGTGAAGAAAACCTAACTTTCGACAAGCAAGAGAAATCTACGCGAGTCTCTATCTAAAATTGGAAGGTTGCTGAGAAATTTCCACTACTCAAGGACTATTACTTTTATATATAGTTATTTATTCACATTATTGATAAGATATATTTTAATTTTTTCAAATGATTAAAAAATATCAGCCAATTTAATCGTTTAAGCCAGAATTTCAATAAAAATTTATTGATCAGGGAGTGGACTTCATGGGCATATAGTCAACTTCAAGTGGCCCAAGTGCCTAGTAAACCGAGTTTTTCTTCGAATTAATGTGAACTAATTAAATAATTACGGAAATAGGGTTGAGTTAAAACTTATTACGGATATACTGTTGGGCTTAACTCTAGTCGGGGAAAGTCGCTGAACCGTTTGGCGACTTATAAGTCGCCGAACCGTTTGGCGACTTATAAGTCGCCAAACCGGATGACGACTTATAAGTCACCAAACCGTTTGACGACTTTCCCCTACCCAAAAACGTTAACACCCAAACGTTCTGGGAGAACACCGAAAGTTTACGTTTTTCGTCCTAAATCGATCCCGATTATTGCAATTCACCGTTTGACGACTTACAGAACACATACAAAACACAATTTGGTAAAAATGACACAAAGCGACACACCTGCTTAGAAACACAGTATAAAAACAACGTATAGACATCCGATATGTATAACCAAACCCACCAACACATCATAAACAAATGAAAAAGTACTAATAACACAATATCCATTAGTTTGCAGGTGAAAATACGTAAAAAAAAAAAATGAAGTGTTTCTACAAAATTTAGGGTACATGAGTAAATGGTCATCAAATTCGAAATGTATATTGAGAGACTAAATGCGCTGCTGCTTTCTTAAATTGGTCGATATTTTTGTTAATGCTGTAAAAATTTCTTGACCCGTTAAAGGTGATCTTTCAAGAAAACCCTTACTTGGTTTATGTTCTTCAGGGGTTTACTTATACACTTCGTTCCACAAAATTCGTGAATGTTATTCCTTAACATGGTATAAGCGCATTTCGGGGTGCCTACGGTTAGAATAATCTTTGATCAAGAACTGTAAGAGGATTTTCGGCTGCGGGGAGAGAGATGGCAGGTGGTAGCAGGGAGGAGGACTTAGCTGGTGCTTCAGTGAGGTTGATGAATTTTGTATCGGAAAATCAGTTGGAAGAATCAAAGCGAACCCGCGGGGCTCGGGTTGAAGATGGTACTGCCCAAAGAGATAGATCCCTGTACGAGGTCATGCTGTCATTTGTCTGGTTTTTTAAGTAAATAAGCTACCAGTACAAAATACTTGAATGCAGTCCATGTAGCAGCAGCAATCCATTGTTTGCCTTACCTAATTTAATCTTGAAGTTAGATTGATTTTGGCTGCTCAAAACTTCTCTCCAATTACAACTTACAGGTATTACAGGAGAACAAGGACAAAAAGGATGCAGAATTCAACGAACGCATCAAGCATAGTAAGGCCTTTAAATTTTTGTCTGTATACATACTCATTTGAGTAATGACTTGTTTGATGTTTCGTAATCAATTAATTCAATTGATTTTGTTCTCTTAGGGCCACCCAAAGCTCTAGATGAGGAAGAAATGGAGTTTCTTGATAAACTTGAGGAGGTGAGACTATTTTGTTGACCTAGTGAGGCTTCAATAGTTATACAGGTATCCACATACGAACGAGATGGATGCTTGTTTTCGCAACCATTCTTTCACTCCAAAGCACAAAAAGGAGCGGTTTATTTCAAACAAAGTTTTCATTTTGTTGATTCCTAGATGTAGTGATTATTCCCCTATGTTGCTAATTAGCACTAATAAAATAGGGCATGTACTGTATGCTTATATTCTTATCAAATTTCCATTACTGTGCGAGATGAGTTTATATTGTGAGAAAAAAGATAGTAATACTCTTGAAGTATACTAGGACCAATTTAGATGGTAATGCAAAAATACTTTCCTCATTTCCTTCTTATATGCCTAGCCGTCCTGCTTTATATTTGTCAAACGAGTTATCTACTTCCACTTTTAGTTTTAATGAATTTTTCATAGTCAGACGTGCCTAGTTACATTACAGGACATTTGACGAAACAGAGGGTATTTCTTGAATATACATAAAACGGACTTGCCAAATCTGATATTTTTAGATGTGTCAGCAATGTCTGATTTGTCAAATCCGCTGTCGCTATTCTTTTCTTTTATTCTCCCAATTTTCAGAAATCATCAATCCGACTTTCCCATATACATCCTTTTGGGAAATTGCTTGGTTCAATTTCACAACAAGAACAACATCCAATTAGTATGCTACAACAGCTCAGAAAGCGTGAAGCAGGTCAAAACAAAAAAAAACTGAGATCATATACAATGTAATAAGTTGCATTTCACTACGGTGAAACTTTACGCTTCCATAACTAGCCACAAAGGCAAAAGCATCTCACATGTTAAGATGTGGTTATCCAAACTGTGGCATCACAGAAATGGATACTTTTGAATTAAAGTGAGGGAAAATTAAGAAGGTCGCTACTTCCAGTCACAAATTGGGTGATTCCAACAGCTTAGACAGCCACAAATACAGTTTTTTTTTCGAAAAATTCTTTTCGGATCTGGTGAGTCCAATATAGTAGAGAGGGAAAGGTTTAGGCAGCCGCAAGTACAGTTTTTTTTTTGAAAATGATTTTTGGGTTTGTCAAATCTGATTTAGGAGAGATGAATAATGACTTGGATCAAATGTCAGATCTACCACCTCTGTTACCCGTTTTTATACGCTAATATGAATCTTCATATTTTGGGAACGCATACACAAAAGGCCCGTCTATTTGTCATTTCCCCTACATTAATGTGGTCAAGTGGATTAATTTGATAATCTATGACCCATTACATCTTGAAGAATAAGAAAGTGTAAGTAATTTATGTTGATGTTATTGTTGTTATGATGTGATTTTCATTAATTCTATGAGGGCTTTGAAAATACAGTTGTGTTACTTTGAGAATCTGTGTAAATTATAATGTGCTCGTTTCTCATATCCTATTCATGTTCCTTTATAGTCGAGGCGGGAATATGAAAAACAACTTATTCACGAGGAAGAAAGGCAACTACAAACTTTCCAAGTAAGCTGGATCAGTAACAGCTTTTATATTTTAGCAACAATTCCATCCATGTTCCACTTGAATGTTGATTTTCTTGTTTGGCCCCATTGTTAGGCAGCAGTTGCTGCACAGTCTGCATTTGTCCACGAGATCAAAGAAACACCAATAGCTCCTAAAATTCAGGTGAGTTGATTCTTCTTTATCAACTAGTACAAAAGTGCAATATACATGTACTCATTTCCATCACACAATTGAACATGTACTTATTTCCATAGCATGTAAACTCATTGATTTCCCTACGTCTTACAAATACATGTATGAGTTTTATACGCTATACAACTATGCATTGGTATTTGATTGTTATTACTTTTTTGTTTAAATAGACAATCTTTAGGCGGAATATCATTGGGTGGTTGTTTTAGCTAGTGCCAAATCCTGAAGAAACTGTATGAGTACAAAATAATTGCCTTGGGTAAAATTAACTATACGGCCATAACCCCACTTTCTTGTTTTATGGCTTGTTATTTAAGTGGGGTAGGAGGATGGTTTGTCTGGCTTTCACACCCTTAGCTCCAATCCCTTTATGCAGGAACAAAGAACAGCCAGTTCTGCGAGGAAGAACCCTTCTGCCAAACCGTTGGGAATTATGATTAAGGTTAAGCCACCAGCAAAGAAAGCTAAAATGGATATCACAAATTCTGAAGCTCCTGTTTTGGCTGGGACAACTTCCCATGGTGATCTCAAAGAGTTGGAGGGATATGTGAAGACTCCACTTGTTCATACCGACAACACTGAGTCTGTTTCCAAAAGTAGCTTAGTACAATATAGCGATGAAAGTGATGATGAGTAGTTTAGTTGTTCAGATGGAATTTGGCGATCTTAACTTGTGATCTTACACAACTAATATTTCTTCCAGTATTTGTGATTTTAATTCTAATCTGGAAATAGGTACTGCCACCCCTGTACAGTGTCCACAGTAACCATGGAGATTGTCCGAGAGCAAAATCGGACCTGATCCAGTTCAGGTTCCTCCAAAATAGGGCCAGACATGCCACTGCCTGTTTGTTTTTTATTTACAAAACCAGTAGGAACGGAATGAATCGCTAGTTCCACCAGCACAGAACCAAACTAGTATTACTGGTTTCTGTTTTACCTATAGGTGCACCAGAGCCTGACCAGATCCAACTCTTTCTACCCTTAGTCCAGAACCCTTTGAACCCTTTCATAGCCATACTTTAGATAAACAAAATATACCATATTACCATATATAGCCTCATGCCCTCATGACTCATGAGTCATGAATTAATTAATATTACAGAAAAACTAAGTTATTTCTAATTATATAATCTGTTCATGAATATTATTGTTGTTATTATTAATATTATATTATTATTATTACAACCAATCAAAATTGTTTTTTGTTTACATTTTGAAATGATGAATTTAGGAAGAATTGATGTGAAGGGAGACGAGAGAAGCATAAAAGCCTTCTTTAGTATTCATGAGAGTGTCGTGATTCCCCTTCTCCACAATGACGCCATTTTTTACCACTGCAATGACATCTGCTCCTCTAATGGTTGATAAGCGATGTGCAACCACCACGGTGGTCCGACCCACCATGATTCGGTCCAGTGCATCTTGAACAACTCTCTCTGACTCGGCATCAAGCGCGCTGGTGGCCTCGTCCAACAGCAATATTTTTGGGGCTTTCACAATAGCACGGGCAATGGCCACCCGTTGCTTCTGCCCGCCAGACAATTGAACTCCCCGTTCTCCCACAGTCGTGTCGTATCCCTGTCGTAAAGCACTGATGAAGTTGTGGGCATTGGCCAGCTCTGCTGCACTAGTGATCTCTGCTTCACTCGCTCCTCCCTTTCCATAGGCTATGTTTGCCCGGATGGTGTCGTTGAACAGTACTGGCTCTTGGCTCACCAACCCCATCTGCTGCCTTAACCATTTCACTCGCAGCTTCCTGATCTCAACTCCGTCCAATGTTATCTCCCCTGAATCTGGATCGTAGAATCTTTGCAATAGTGATATCACTGTTGACTTTCCGCTCCCACTTTCTCCCACAATAGCAACAGTCTGATTATGATACAATTGTATAATAAATAAATAAACACACTCAGACACATATGTGTAAAAACAATATATATTGGCTTTGGAATATGATGGAACAAAGCAAAATGTCTCGCTAAACTGTTTGCACTTCTTTATTATGAAGCAACAGTCAGTCCGTGCAATTTTTGACGCCTTTCTCATCATGGGTCATCCGACCCCATTACCTCACCGTAGGTGGGAGTCTTTGCAACACTGAGATAATGTTGTTGATATATATATATATATACTCCCTCCGTTCCCAAAAATACTTCCCACTTTCCTTTTTGGGCTGTTCCCAAAAATACTTCCCACTTTCCCATTTTGGACAATTTGTGTGGCTTACATTCATTTTACCTTTTTCTTACACAACCACAACCATACATTTCCACTTTATTCCACTTTCTTAATAAGCGTGCCAAGTCAAACCGGGAAGAATTTTTAGGAACGGAGGGAGTGTACATACATATATATGTATGTACATACATATATATGTGTGTATATATATATATATATATATATATATATATATATATATATATATATATATATACATATATATATGTGTGAGTGTGTTTGCTCAATAAGAAAGATCTTTCCCATGATAAATGAGAACTCATATGATGTCAGATTGTGAGATCTAATGGCTCTAACTCTCTAAGTATTCTAACAATGCACAAAAAAATAATCTACACTTTTTTCACCGCATAAAAGTGCATCATTTCATCGGAAAAAGTTCACTATTCCGAGGTAAAAATGCAGTTTTTGTACCGGACTCACACTTTTTTATTTGAAAATCACAAAGTTTATTCTCTCCACATAATACACACACATACAAATTTTAAAAAATAATGGATCATCACCTTCCCGCTATGAATTGATAAGCACAGGTCCCTCAGGATTTGCACGTCAGGCCTTGTTGGATACTTAAAGCTAACATGTCTGAACTCAATTTCTCCCTTCACACTCTCCAGTGTCACACCGGACTCGTCACTTGGATCAATTTTAGACTTGCTATCGAGAATGGCAAATACAGAAGCAGCCGCACTCGTGGCCTTGCTTGAATCAGGTGCCAACGAGCTCGACTGGGAAATAGCCATAGCAGCCATCGTCAATGAGAAGAAAACCTGTATGTCATGTGTATAAATTAATATATTCACAATTTTACAAACCTCATTATTATTATCACATAATTATAAGAGGTTATTATGCAAATTTATAAAGATCATTATACTGACGCGAAAAACATCAGAGAATGTGATCTTGTTATCCTCAACAAGGCGAGCTCCCGCATAAAAGCTTGCTGCATAAACTAAAAACAGTAAGGTGAAGGAAATCCCAAAACCAGTTCCACTAATCAGCCCTTGCCTAACCCCTGCCTTCAATGGCCCTTCACACTTTCTTTTGTACATTTCCATCACTTTATCTTCAGCACAAAACGAAGCCACTGTCCTTATGCTTCCCACTGCGTCATTCGCAACCTGACTCGCTTCTTCATACATAATCTACATACGGTACCAAATAAACCACACATTAAATTACACTTAGATCAAGGGCGTTAAATGTAATATTGATAAACAAATTTTCTTTACCACACTTAAGAGTGTTAATTGGGTTCGATCAGATTTTTAGGACAGATTTGACCCGTAAATCTTTGAACAACATTTATGGGCCAATACAGAATTACACCATAACGTCCTTTCTTTTTTACCTTTGCATCAGCACTGAATCCTTTCATGAACTTGATTTGAGCATATACATTCAGTCCAATCATAGGTAGCATAGCAAGTATGATAAGGGCCAATTGCCAACTTGCTTGAAATGCAATAGCTAAACCAGCAGCTGCTGATGCAGTGTCTTGGACAATCTGCGCCAGAGCGTCTCCTACTAGACCTCGCACCGTAGCTGCATCAGCAGAAAGCCTGGCACCAATAATCCCACTCGAGTGCTCAGCTTCGTCAAACCAACCGACCTCCATATGAATGACCTTCTCAAAACACATTGACCTAACTCTTTTGATCAACCTGCAACCAGCCACCCCAAAAAAGTATGTCCTTGCTGGACAAGCCAGGAACGAGACAGCTCCAAGAATCACAAATATGAGTGACCAAAAGTTCGAATCTTTCTTAAGTTTATGTGGCGGCTCATAAAATGCTTTGATTTCCATTAGAGATCAAGATGCCAAAAATTGGAAATATTGCACCATTAATCACGCCAGAAATGGTTCCTGCTATGAGAACTGGAATCTCAGGCTTGTTGAGGTAGGCAAGGCGTCGTACTGGGGCCTTCACAGAATGTTTCTCTGATGAAGGAACTTCAGGGTCTGCAATTGTGGTCTCAGAAACACCAATTCCAGTGGGCAGACCAAAGGAGGCAGAAATGGAATGGCGGCTGCTGTTTCCTATTCCAGATGAACTCCGGCTTATGGAACGTAAAGAGGAAGTCATCCTTTGACTTGACTGCCTTCCATATTTTTCTGTGTCCGTATGTCTCTCCTGCAAACGTACAAGCTGAGAGTATGCTCCCTCTGAGTCTTTAGATAATTCAATATGTGTGCCTGAAAAACAGTCGGCAACAATTGCAGAAAATGCTAGTATATGCATTCATGAGTTTGTACTAAATGTCACCGAAAAGAAATAGTAGTATATATTCTGTGCTTAACTACAGCTCAAGGGCTTGTTTTGTTCAGAAAATTGGGAGGAAAGGGAAGGGGGTAAATAACTTTTATTTTACCAAGTTATCTATATTTGATAGTTTTATTTTAGAAATACTTGTATGATCATAACTTCCTATATAGTTTATTATCTTCACTTTTATGATTTCCAACAATCTAAATGTAGAAATAATTCAAGAAATACATATCATATCTCCCCTTCCCTCTCTGAGATCACCGAAACAAACAAGCGCTAAAAGTTGGTACCTTTTTCAACAATCTTTCCATGATGAAGGACAGCGATCATATCAGCATTTCTTACTGTGGTGAGACGATGCGCAACAATGACAGTGGTTCTATTGACCATAATCCTGTCCAATGCCTCCTGCACCACTCTCTCAGACTCGGCGTCTAATGCACTCGTTGCCTCATCTAGAAGTAAGATTCTCGGATCTTTTATTATTGCTCTTGCAATTGCAACCCTCTGCTTCTGACCACCAGAAAGCTGAGTCCCATGCTCACCAACCATAGTATCTAGCCCCTGGTTAATTAAGGTTTAAGTAAATACACACACATACATATGTATGTATGGATGGATGAATGTATAGAAGACTTCTTAGGTCCGCACTTTTTTCTCTCCTGCGCAACCATCCGAAGTTATGGGCAGATTAAAATTCTAGTCAACAGCCACTTAGGATCTAATGGCACACAACAAAAGTTCTAACCATTTTCTTTATTTCTGTATATGTATGTAGTATATTATCTTGGCAGTCCTTGTGGTCAGTTTTAGTTAATAAGGAACCACATGAACTGTTATTTGTGCTAAAATTGTTAACTCAATTAGGGACATAAGCATGATCAACTGCTCTTTTGAGCTCTTGAAACCGTTAGAAAAGACCAGCATGAAGGACTGACACAGCAACACTCATATGTGTGTGTGAGGGGGTGGGGGGGGGGGGGGTGAATCAAGAGTGACCTGTGGAAGCTTGTCGATGAATTTTGCAGCATTTGAGAGCTCTGCTGCTGCTTTGATCTCATCCAGACACGCATCGGGTTTCCCATATGCAATATTATCCTTAATGCTTGCTGTGAAAAGAACAGGTTCTTGGCTGACAAGAGCAATTTTTTGTCTAATCCACCTAAGCTGGAAGTCTTTGAGATTGATGCCATCTATGAGAACTTCACCAGCTTGTGGATCATAAAAACGCTCAATCAGACTGATCACAGTTGACTTCCCACTCCCGCTTTGTCCTACTAAAGCTGCAGTTATGCCATTGTGTATGAACAAAGAGAATCCACGGAATATTTGCTCGTCTGGTCTTGCTGGATAACTGAAGTAGATATCCCTTAGTTCGATATCTCCACGAATGTCATCACCATCAGGTATCTTACCAGCTCTTGTGTCATATGCATCTATGGATGGCTTTCTGTTTATGGTCTCAAACATCTTGAATGCTGCAGCTTGGCCAGCTGCAAAAGCACTCATACAAGGAGACGCTTGCCCTAACGACATGGAACCAGCCAACACCGCAATAATCACATTGAACACTTCTCCTCCTGTGTAACCCTTTTCCAATATCATCCGGGCTCCAAACCAAATGGCCAAACCATAACTGCAAAACATGACAAGAAACGCCGACCCTAGGCCTAATCCAGTAGCCAACCCTTCTTGTACACCAGATTGGTATGCTTTCTCAAGGAACTTGTTGTAACTAGCCGTGGCTTGCCTCTCCCCAGTAAATGATGCAACCTAATTAAGTACCGATAAGACAATGGGAAGAAGTTATTAGGTGGATGGTTTAATGGGAATAGATACACATAAATCATAAGAAGCTTACTTAGCCACACACTTACCGTACGAATGGAGCCTATAGTCTGTTCAACCACAATAGCGGCCTTTGAATAAGCAGCTTGACCACGGGATGCCATCTTGGCAATGACAATAGACATCAGACCGCCTGACAGCACAAGTAGAGGTATAGAGGACAGCATGACTACAGTCAGAAGCCACCCTTTGATGAATGCAATGACAAAGCCTCCCAAGAATGTTGATACTAACTGAATGAATTTCCCCACCTACAATGTATTGAAAAACAGTATATACAACGTGCTTAAAAGTTCTATACATGTTAGCGATGACTTGGTTAGACTTAGATGACCAGCTAACTAAACAATTGAACTTACTCTTTATTGCAATTTGATCAATGTGCATTTTAACTAAAGTTAATGATCTGATCTAGCAATTAAGGGTGTTTTCTTTTGGACTGTATTCAGTCCCAGACCAAACTTAAACTGACCAGACCAGACTACACTTGGATAGTTATAAAATACACAGAGACCCGACATTTACCAAACCTGACCAGTTCAAACCAGACTGAACCAGACTTAAACAAAACAGACTAGACCAGACCAGCATTTCAATCCAAAAGAAAACATCCTAATTCCTATTACGTATGGCACATTTGTGGGTGTAGATAATGGGACCAGGCCTAGATCCTAGACACACCAAATTGGCCAAAACTATATTTTCATGTTAAAAATGTATACGAATGAAAAACAGGTTTGTGGCCTACACCATCTCATGAATAGGGGTTTGAGGCCCATAACTGATCAAATAGTTTAATTAGGAGTATTAAATGATTTTTAATCACTGTGGTTGATAGAAGGTTTGTCTTCACAATTCACATAGCACCTAGTTGTGGCATGTACTCATGTTCAATATGGTTTCCCCAATGTAGGTGCTAAGAATTAAATCTCACCTTTTTGACTCACACTACAACTAAAGCTAAGACTGGTTAGACTGCTAAGAATTGAATCATAGCCTTTTGAGTCACTCTGCCACTAGAGCTAAGACACTCAGAGATTCTTAACTATATATGGAAGTGTTTGATGCATGTAGGGTATACCTTCTCACCCATTGCATCTTGTATAAGGACAGTGTCACCAGACATCCTCCCAACAACTTCTCCAGTATTTGCCTCCATATCAAAGAAAGCAATGTCTTGCCTTATAATGGCCTGCAAATACAGACTCCGAATTCGTGCTGCCTGCCTCTCACCACTTACCATCCAACAACCCATCTCTGAATAAAACACATAAGATCAAACGACAGTGACATGCAATTGAGTAAGCTAAGTTAACCTGGGACCAACGTCCAACGAGAGATTTACTCAAATAGGACCAAAACAATGTCATTTTCATAAAATAGGTCCTACTAGTTTATAATCATAAAATGCCTCATAGTGCTGGAGCACTACTGCCCCCAGGTCACCAGACCGCCTGCCGCCGGTTGCTGAATTTTTTCCCTAGGGGGCAATTAATAATATTAATCAATGAATTAAATTAGGAGTAGAAAGATAATGTATAGTCCTATTTAGAGAGAACCAAATATATGGTCCTATTTATGAAAAAATGCTATGTTTTAGTCCTAGAATGAGCAATTCCTGCACGACCAATTGTGTATGTGTCAGCTTACGAAGAAATGAAGCTAAGCCAGACCCCAAAGCCAAGTACACGAATTTCAGCGCCACCTACGACAAAATACATACATGTCAGTTTAAGCACACTTTCGTGCCAAATAGCTTGTGCCAAAATGTTTTTGGCACGAATTTGACATATCTCTGCCAAATCCTATATGAATTTTGGGTGAATCTCTCTACAAAAAACTCTGCCAATCCCCTGATTTTTTGTACGAATAGTGACATTCATACAGACAGGGCATTTCAAATGGACTTTGGTTATTAAGTATAGCAAGAGGGTCAAAATAGTTTGTTTAATTTTCTGTGTCCCACAATTACCTTCATCTTTTGAGACATATTGATAATTTAATTAGTTCTCTATTGAAAAATGAAAATGATAGTCCATGAGTAGATTGATACTATTCAGATAAGAGAACATGCAAATTCGAAAATCATGTTATATGTAAAAAAGATACATTTTCTTTAAAGTTAAGTTAAGGAGATTCGCTGATTTGTTTGTGGCTTTTATTAAGTTTTCAGTTTTAATTACTTGCACATCATCTTGTAACTAATTATAAGTTTTCTAGCTAAAGTTTCACGGATCATGCTGCCAATATAATGATGAAATTTTATTTATGAAATAGTACGTGCATTTTGATTTAAAAGTCCCAATTTTATTAGTTGAAAGATGTGATCTGTTATTTGTAATGGAAATTACATAATAAGTCTTTTTATACATCCGAAAGGACTACATAATTTGTTATGGAAACATATACTATCGTATGTTACAAAGTTAAATATACATTTTTTCTAATGTTAGTTTTTCATTTTTTTAATTTATTTTAATTCTTGACACCCATTTTAGCATTTCCGGGTATCATAAAATTAACATTTCACAGGAATACTTTAAGTTCAACAATCTTTTTCATTTAATTTTGCTAATTTCAGACGTTTTGAGACAAAAGCTATGTTTGGCATGCATAAGTCTCTGCCTTCTAGCTTTTGTACTATTCAAAAAATCTCTAAAAGCTTCTAGTTGTATATTTGGCATGACAATTTTTAAGAGGTTTTCAAAAATTAAAAGATCTTTTTTGAGATGCTACATGGAGTAGAATCTGAGAGAAGTCCGTGACTTTTAGTATTAATTAGTCCTAACAGTTTGTATACCAAACAGAACTAAATCAAACAGTCAGCTTTTCACCAAACAGCTACCACATTTTTCTTTTTAAGATCTTTTCAATCAATAAAAGCTACTACCTCCGTCCCGCTATGATTGTCCCATTTTACCTTATCGGTCCGTCCCACTAAGATTGTCTCATACCAAATTTGGTAAAGTTTGTGTGGCTCTAAATCATTTTTACTTTATTCTTACTTTATCAATTCAATATTAACCACATAAACCATTTTTTATTAATTTGCGTGTCACTCCCTCTTGTCCCATTGTTAGCGAGACAGATGGAGTAACAGTTATTAAAAGCTCATAAAAGTATCTTTTCAGCTAGTTGTTTCAAACATACCAAAAAAACTTAGATATTTGAACAAATCCATAGATCTAAATTGTCAAAACAAAGAGATCGAGAATATTAATGATCAATTTTTTTGTGCTCATTAGTATGGGGTACAAAGTACTCCCTCCATCTCAAAATGAACTTCACAGTCACTATTCACATGATCAACTTAAATTACTCTTAATCTTATGTTGTACTCCGTATATATCAAATTTTTAACAAATTTATATTTTTTTTATCAGCCTTTGTAGCGATTTTAATGTAATTTCTCAATATGTAAATTTTATTTACTAAAAGTAATCTGAGTATGAACAGGGATCGCGTTGCTTTATCGTTGGTCAAACATCGTAATTCAAAATGGGAAGTTAATTTTGGGACGGAGGTAGTATTAATTATTGATTTTGACAGTTACATGTAAAAGTTGTAAAAAGTGGCACAACTCAATTGTAATATGATCAATTGGTTAAAAGTATCACTTGATACATTCATACAAATAAGTAAAGAGACTAGATTTATTGAATTTATCTTTGGTGAATGCTAAGGTGCCCATTAATAATTTAGAGTACCGTACCGATGCATTTTATTGAAGCATGTCATTATTATTGATTTATTTCAACATTTATTTATATCTGAATTACTCACATGCTATATTCTAATGATGTTTTCAATTAACCATAAAAAATGATGTTTTCAATTTGACTGAAATTTATTGGTTTGACCAGATATGATTTGGTCCGGTCTATTTAAGTCTGGTCTGATCTATTTATTTGTCTGAACTGGTTTGGTAAACGTCTAGATCTCTGTGTATTTTATAACTATGAAAGTTTGGCCTGGTCTGGTCTGTTTCAATCTGATTTGAACTAATTTCTTTAAGTTCAATATGAAAACGGTTCAAAATCCTAATTTACCATATACTTTCTTAAAGGGGCATTAGAATTGCCCATTATCTTTAAACAAAAAATGAAAGAGGCCTAGATTATGGATTATGAAATTCTATACTCCCTCCGTCCAATTGTACTTCCCCAATTTTCTAATTTTTGGTTGTCCAAAAATTTTTACCACTTTCATATGAAATATTAAAACAACTAATTTGTGGTTCCGCGCATTTCTCTCTCTTTTGCACAAATTTCAATCACACAATTTTTACTATTTTTATTTCTCTCCCTGCTTTGTCACTTGGAGGTACTATCGAGTAGTTGACTATGAAAATATAAACATCCTAGTATTTCTGTTAATTTACCTTAGAAACCGCGTGAACGACGTTGTTGTTGGATTGACTTTGACCGAGGGCATCAGTGACGTCTCCTAAGAGAAGGGTCATGAAGGGGAGGGAGAGGCCATTGGCAACCGCAGCAATTGTGCCCACCGCCATTAACGCCACGTCCGTTGAATCTGCAAAGGAAAAGAGCTTGTAAAAGGGCACCATTTTCATGGCGCCGTCTTCTTTCTTTTGTCTGATCAGTACCGCCGCCCTCCCGCCAGCCGTCGCTTCTTCTTCTTCTTCCTCTTTTTCTTTGTGTCCATCCCCTCCCATGTTTGATTTCTTGCCCGGAACTGGACCCCAAGAAATGGATTTTGATGGAAAGATTTGTTTTTTAAACCATCAATGGAAATATGGAATGAGGCTGCAGCAGCTAGGCAGAGATCAGAGTATATATTTGTTTGATATAATGAGAAATGGGTTCAAGCACTTGCTGGCTTGTAGTATGACCCCAGACCCCATATTACTAGTATATATTCTCTCCGCTACCACCGTTAAATAATAATGACTGCACACCGCAAGACAGAGTCAAACTATATCAAACACTATCAAAATTGTGTACTAAAATTTACTCTCCAGTAAAAGAACATTTCAGGAAGTCAAAGGAAAAAATTACTCGATATTTCACTAGTGCAAAATATGTATTCTATAACTAGTTTTTAATATGAGTTCATAAGAGAGCATGTACTATGTGACGGTTTTTGTAAAAATTACAACATATGAATATGGCATGGCGAGCGATTAAATGTGACTAATACATCGTCTCACAGAGAAGAAGTTTCTGAAGCAGATAATGGCGATCATTTAGAAGACATGATACATGATATTGGTGAGGAAGCCTTTAAGCGGTCATATGTGTATGTTACACTATGTGTTGATTCAGAAAAGCCTTTGTATCCTGGGTGCATCAAGTACACACGGTTGTCAGTAGTGTTGAAATTGTTCAATTTGAAAGCAAAGTATGGTTGGAGTGACAAAAGTTTCACTCAATTACTTATTTTGCTAAAAGATATGCTGCCTCAAGGAAATTTCCTTAATATGTACGCAAGTCAAAATGAGAATTTTAAAGAGAGATTTTCCAAAATAGGAGTAAATGAAGTTTGAAATTCCAAAATAAGACTACTATGTTTTTATTCCCGAAATAGGACTAACATGACAGTATTTACTGTCATCTTGTAGACGTGATTGTCAAATAGTTGCAGTATAGTGCATTTAACATGACATTATTTATTATAATTAATGGTAGTATTTTTTAGTTATGTAGTATTTTTCATACATGGCAGTTAAAACTCATATTTCGGAAAGAAAAACACAGTAGTCATATTTTGGAATTCCAAACCTCATTTAAATTGTGGATCGTTGCGTTTACCGCTACACTAAAAGTAATCGTTGATAGTGTAGCACGCCCCTGCCCCTTTATAGCATAGGCAAAGCGCCACGTGATTCGATTGCACCAGCAAACTGCCAGATTGCTAACATCGTATACCCGCGGCTCAACAATCCTATTTAGGGTAATTTCCCAATTTTAAATAGAGATGAAAGGAGTATTAATTACACTACTACAGTACTACCTCCGCACGTTTTAAATTAGACGAAAATAAAAAAGTAAATATCTTGTAATTGAGATTTGTGAGAAATACTCCCTCTGTCCCCTACAACTTTGTCATCTTTCTTTTTTGGGACGTTCCAAAAAACTTTGACACTTTCCCTTTTAATCAATTATTTTGTGGTTTCTGTTATTTCTCTCTCCTCTGCATAAACCTCAACCACACAATTTTTACTTTATTATTCTCTGTGCCGGTCAACATTGACAAAGTTGTAAGGGACGGAGGTAGTAAATGAAAAGAACTATTAATTAATTATTTTAAATAAGGAAATGATTATGAATGGTTGACTTTATTGAGTTTATTCCCCTTCCTAATATTGTAGCCTTTTATTTGCTTGGACGGCAAGCTAGCCAGCTAGGTTGCTTTTTTGGCTTTTGTACATATGTGAAAGGGTCAATCCACATGCAGTAACTCAAACAAGGAACAATCAGCCACCTTGATCGAGTTTTTTGGTAATAACAAAAAGTTGGCCGAGTACCGGTCTTCGATCTGAAAACGAGTCAACACATACTTTAAAGAAAAAATTGATTTTAATAATTCTGACTATTGACGGTGTCGGTCCCTGTTTTCTATAACAACAATATAATATGGCATACAGATGAAAGATTATCAACAAAGATGAACACAGAAAGATCAAGTGTAAACCTTCTCTGATATATCGTGAACCTTTCGTACAAGAATGATAAGCGCTAAGGCTATTTTGAGCAGATACGAAAGTTAACTTCAATACTGAGTCCTCCGCCCTCTTTTATAGGCGAGGCTCAGGTATGTGTAAAAAGGCTTCTCGCCTAAGTATGGGCCTAACACTTGGCCCATATTGAATACTATTCTAACAGATATATTTAGTCAGTGCAGAACAGAAATAGTAAACATCTAAATTATTACAGACAAGACAGACAAACTTGATTCACAATAAAATAGTCTTCAACAATCTACCCCTTTGTGATCAAGTGCCGTCTTGCATTTATTTTTGAGATCTGAAGTAATGCTTTCTGAAATTTAGCGCATGCTCATACTGTCTCAGCATTCTTCTCTTTTCAAGTTGCTCGTTGATGGGCTTTAGGATGGTCCACACCTTCTCGTATACTAGGAGCTCTTCCTCACTGGCGTCCGCAAGTCTTGGATCTATATTCTCCTTGATCTCTAACAGCTTAGTCTGGATGATCTTCAGAGTCCCATCACAATATTTGTGAATGTCTTCTACCCACATGAGTCTTTTCTGTTCCTCGTGATTGAGATATATGATAGAGACTGGGTCCTTGAAGATATGATATGGTCTGTACTTTTTGAGCTCTGGACCGTACAGAGTTGGCTTTACCAGATTTGCTTTTCTGACATTGTTTTCCAGGGCCATCTGTAGATCATGGGCAGCATAGAATCTGATCTGTCTCAGCATAAATCGTTTGATCGCCTCATAACCTTCTTCGTGTGTCCTGTTTCGACTCAGTGAGAGATACCTACTTACCATGAACATTTGGTAGATATCCTCCATCTTCATCATTATAAAATCATTTTCCTGGCAGATGAATATGCTGGAGTCTGTTCGTCGAACTTTGAAGCTGTAGAACGGGATGGTGTGATGATCTTCTCGGTGTATATCAAGGATAGCGTCAATAGGGTGGATGCTGGACTTCATGTCTCTTTCCAGTATTTGTCGTTGTTTTCCAGATGATCTGTGCATCAGCATGTGAAGATGTCCGCCGGCCAGTTTGCCCTTAAGGTGAGTCAAGCCACGGATCTTCAGTTCATCGAGCTGTTTGATCTTGTCTGCGGTTCTCCAAATTCCCTTTCTGATTTCCTCTTGGAAGGGGGCATTTATTCTGATGTTTTCCCAGAGCTTTTCTTTTAGGGGCAACTTGCCTGCCGTTTGTCTGATGACAGATTCTAGCTCCCTGGGTATCTTTTTATAGTCCTCCCCTTCTTTGAGTTCCTCTTCATCAAGGCGTATGATATCTTCTGCGCATTTGGCAAGCAACTCTCTCAGCCACCAATTTCGCTGCATATCCTCTGTTTCAGCTTCGCATCTAAGATCATCCCACTCTGTCCACTTTCTCGGCCAAACGTCGTGTACCACAGCATCCTCGAGTGCATCATGAATGTCTTTGCCTTGGGGAATGAATGGGACTCTCAGCTGCGGTGATCTTTCTCGTGACGCACAACCGGGTTCACTAGGATTGCCCGTTGTCATCAGGTTAGAACTGAGTTCTGGCTGATGGCCTGACTTGACAGATGAATCAGAGATATCATCGTCAGGACTTCCATCCCCTCCTCGGACGGTATCCTTTGGAGACACGCCTCGGGATGTTGTCATCGATTTCGAACTGTGTTCTGATCGATGGCCTGAGCTCTGTGATGTACCAGAGGTAACCACTACAGGACTTCCATCCCTTCCTCGGACAGTATCTCTAGGGGATAAGCCTCGGGATGTTTCATCTAGCTCGACCAGGCTAGAGAGTTGGGCTTGGTTGTGGCTCGAGGAAGGTGGTGGTTGGTTGGTGGGTTGGTTTGATGAGGTGTTTGGCTGGGGTTCATGGCTGGTAGAGGCTGCTTGCTCAAGTGTCCGAGGTCTCTTGTTCTCCCCCTCATGAGGTTCCGAATCATCGGGATCCTCATGGGAACGTTTGAGGCCTCGGGGACTGTCACGGCAAGTGCCGTATTGAGGGCGGTCGTGGTTGAGGAAAACCTGGAGAAGGTCACGTTCGAAGGGTGTAAGGTTGCAAGCGTCGACCTCCAGCAACCGAAGAAACAGGAGATCGGCGAGCTCAAGGCGGGATAGGTGGAAGGGATTGGTCGAGGTAGAGGGCGATACTAGTTCTGTATCGTGGGTTCCCCGAGAGGGTGAAGGGCTAAGGGGTTTGGTGGAGGTGATAGGGATGACAGGAGTGGGTTGAGGAATTGATTGAGAGGGTGAAGAGTGAGGTTTGGGGTGGCTCTGTTCACTATGAACCGCTGGGGTTGTCTTGGAGTCCTGTGCCCAAGCGGTGAATGCTTGTTGCACCCATGGTTTGATGGTGGACTCCATGTAGCGGTTCATGAGAACGGTGACGTCTTCGGGTGTAAGGTGTCCAGTTACGGGGGTTGTAACTGTTGTCACAACATTAGTGAAGAGAGCTGATGTGTGGCCTGCGTTCAATGATGAAGTCATTGTTGGCATAACAGGGCTTCCGACCATCATCGTTTGCACTCCGGTCGTTGTATTCAGGGTGTGTGCACCTGTATGTGCTGTGAATGGTGTAAGTGTCCTAGAAAATTTTGAAAATGTGGGGAATGTGACACCTAGACTCGATGTGTGGAAAGAGGGGGTTGTGGCCTCGGGCGGTGGGCCACTAGAGCGCTCAACTGGTTCGGAGGGAACCAGTGAGGTGGGTGAGTCCCGTGTTGTTAAAACGTTAGCCTTTTGGGAGGCTAACGAGTGGCTGGGAGAGGGCGGTGCATGCGCAGTTGAGCCTGATGCTGCGGCTTCTACTCGGGAACCAACAAGATTGGCCCCTGTACTTAAGGATTCGGCCCGGCTTATAGTGATGAAGGGAAGACAGTCGTCAAAGATGTGTAGGTCCTCCTCAACGACCAGACTTTTTCTGAGAGGACGCTGCTTCTTTGCCTTAGGTGAACGAGGAGCCGCAATCTTAGCTGTAACTGGCTCCTTCACTTGTTTGATGATGATGGTCTTGGGGCGGACAGCTATAACTGGAGCTGCATCCTCAGGGGTGATTTTCTTTGGAGGAGAATCAAGTGGCAGCTTCCCCTTTTGGATTAGAGCAAAGGTGTGCTCCACGTCGTCGATATCGTCGTCGTCATCATCATCGTTAGCATCGTCATCATCCTTGGCCACGCTATTGGATGCCTC